CCCCCCCCCCCCCCCCTTATAAGTTTTCTAGTAGTCCGTCCCTTAAGGTTCACCTTTTCTCATTAGGGAGCTTAAGCAACGAGGACGGGAGAAAAGCAATAGGTTTAGATTGGCAAACAACAACTTTGCACGCTTTTTGTACATTTCTTCGTCGTCGCTGCTGCACGGCTACAACGTGAAAGTGCCTTATTTCACGTTTTGTCGACGGCGTGAACACAAGACAAGACTTTCTTAATCCTTTCCTGAACTTTGATACAGTCTTTTAGAATTCAACTACGAAAAAATTTGCCAAAATTTGACGAATTCAACGAGATGGAATAAGCGCGATAAAGTTTAAGGCAACGTGTATGCCCTTTTTAAGTGACGTTTTTGTAGTCGTCGCCATTGTTGTTGCTTAATCTCTCTATTCTCAATTTGTCATGTTTCATTAGCAATTTTGGGGTCAATTCAATAAGACTTAGAAAAAGTAATAATACTATTTATGAGTGTAAAATGTAAAGAATGAACTTTAGTGATCCATGAACTGAAACATTTTGCTTCATTATCCCTGAAGAAATTTATACCTAATAATCATGCCATTCTAAAATAATGTTGGCTGCATATTTCTTATACTACCTTCCAATATTTCGCATCCTCATTTTCGCTTCTGCTGGCATTTCCTCTTCCTCGTCACTCTGACATAACAAACAAGCAAGAGATTTTGAGAATGATATGTCAGAAATATCTTATCGCTTGGGCATAAGAAAGGAAGGACTTTGGCTGCTGCAAATGCGACTGCAAAGGATTTCAAACCTTGACAAGGATGCTTGTTCATGTCCTTGTCACACGCACCCAACTAAATTTAAAAACAAGAGCTGTTTTTTAAGATCTACTGAATGCCTTATTCATGGAACAAGCGTGTATGAAAATCGATTCCTCTCTGAATTTGATTGATAATGTGATCACCAATGACTGTTCCTAGTGGTCATATAGGCTGCTTATTTGATGCACATTTCATCTACAGCCTAAATTTACTGCTAATAATAACAACAATACTATCAGAGCTCCCATTAATTCAAAGGTGTGCATCATATACGCATAAAAAATGACAAGGACACACAGTTTTTAGCTAAAGTGCGTCCTTGGGACGCACGAAAACTGGGTCTGGCTGGCCCTACCCAAAAATTTGTGATCGTCATGGCATGTCCTTCGAACCCCTATTTTGTCACTCGTTGGGTCATGTCTATACACAAGAGTTTATTCGATATTGTCAGGCCTTCAACATTGAGGAAACCTGAAAAAAGGATACCTGAAAGTGATACAGATCAAGGGGATGATACCCAGGTGAAGAAACACAAATTTTGTCCTAAATGGCTGGGGGAGTTTCACTGGTTGAAATATGACTCCACTGAAAAACAAATGAAGTGCAAAGTTTGTCTTGAAATCATGCGTATTGCTGAAAACCTAATCCTTCACAAAATTTTCAGCATGGAGCAAATAATTTGGTCTTGATTCTCGCTTCTCTGTTGAATACAATAACATTTAAATTTTTGTAGTACGCAGGGGACCCCCAAAAAACAAAAAAGGACTCCTAATTGTCAAAGCTAGTGGGCACTCTGACTATAATGATAACGAAAATGATATTGATGATGATAATGATGATGATAACGATAACGATAATGATAATGATAATGCAGTGATTTTGTTACCTCTGCGTCCTGCGTCCCTGATGGAAAAAAATCTCCAAAGAAACAAAATAATTTGTGGTATATGTTCCATAGAATGCAGAGATCGATTGAGTAATCTGAAGATGTTTTTGTAGAATATTCTGTTTGGGTGATTTCTGTGGCTGTTATTGTGCCGTGGCTGTTGTTAAACAACACTTTTTCTTTTAGTCTTTGTTGTGCTTTACAATATAAGGAGTCTATTTCCATTTCAGTAAACTGTAATACAGACTTTTTGGAGTCTGTCTTCATACTAACTTTGTGGATACAAAAGACCCAGGGACTTATTGGTTTTGAACTGGGATTCAATGGTTCTGGACTGGGACAGTGACTTTGTTACAAACAGTTATGGTGAGTCCTGGCTCATCTTGTAAACAAATCATGAGTCCCACTCCAGAATCACTGAGTCCCAGTTCAAAAAACAACAAGGGCTAAATTGAAAATGCTTGGGCCTTTATGTGACCAGACAGATAAAAGATGTTCTTTTGTAAAGCACAACGAAGACTAAAAGACATATGCATTGTTAAACAACAGCCACAAGAACAGCCACAAAAATCACATGAATAGGATATTCTACAAAAACATCTTCAGAGCATTAATCAATCTTTGTGTCCCATGGGACACATGCCATAAACTTTTGTGCGTCTTTGGGGATTCTTATGCATCAGGGATGCAAAGGTAGCAGAATCACTGCTGGGACTCACGATTTTTCACAAGAGAAGTCCCAGGACTGACCATAAATATTTTTAATAATTAAAAGTTACTGGATAGTGATAATTAATATAATGATAATCATGATAACAACAACAATAATCATCATCATCATCTTAATGCAGGATGCGTTTGTCACAGTTTCAAATAAGTTCCTTTCATAAAACGGCCATATAAAAAGTAAATGAATAAACAAAAAATAAACAAACACTACATGTCAAAGGAATGTTTTCACAACCTAAAAAAAAGTCATTCAGAATGGAGTGCAATGCAACATTCAGCCCACTGAAAATTTCAATACACTGATTTATCTAGTTATCAACAAACTCGTAAACTTCATACATATTATGTCTGTTAAGTGACTACAATAGGGTTTGCACTTTTTAATGATGCACTTTCTGTGATTTCTGGACTGTGATAAAAAACTACAAGCTGCAGTTATCAGCTTCACAAAAGCGAGTCAACTGTGTATATGTTGTAGTAATTTTTTTATCTCACGTAATTTTTCTTTTTCTTTTGTTTCAACTTCATTAGCATACATTACCATACACAAAAACAAAAGAAAAACAAAAATTTATACCTAAGATAAAATATTAATTACAACATATAAATAAGTAAGTACAACAATTCTCATGTTTGGCTAGTCTGCTACACAGTCATTTTTAGGGTCGTCATGCAACGCTCCTCCCCACGTTGTTTGAATCAGTACCCTTGAGAGTTAAGTCTTCACATGTACAGCAACACAATGAGCACATCCAGCACATAACATTCATTATACATATGCATGTTAAAAAAAAAACCACAACCAATTCTGGTAAGAGTCTTGTAGGCCTATCAAACCGTTTCTTCACTTGAAACTTTGTTCACTGCTTACAAATTTTTGTGCAAATTAACCTTTTGGTTGCTTGCAGATACAAAGCCCGTCCAAATTCAGCGACAATGTATTGATGCATCAAAAATTGAGAAGCGCCCTGCATCTCACATAATGTCAAGTTTCTTTTACATGATTGGTTTGTTCGTCAGCCCTCACAACAAACACAAAGGGAAAGGAATGTGGTTCGATTCTGACAGCAGCCATTTGTGGGGAGGAGCATTGTGTGATGACACTATTAAAAAACAGCTGTGTAGCAGATTAATGTTTGGCTGAAACACATACTTGAAACAAGAAAAGCAAGCCTTCCCTTTCTCCCCAACCCTAAAAAGTGTCGTGCAGCTGCTCAAGACTACCAGTAGGAAATAACAAACAAGCTCACAATCAAGGCTCACAATGGTTTTGTGGGTGGGTGAAGGAAAGGGTCTACATCGGTTTGTTTTCCAAACAATACACCACTTGATAGTATTTAAAAAAGTGAGCTGTGTAGGGATACTAACAAACTATTGACTAAATGACTGACTTGATAAATTAAAAATACAACATTACTGTAAGATTAATTTGCCAACATGATGTGATTCAGAAGTTAACATTTTAAGTACCAGTCCTTCATCAGTGTTAAGACCTGGCACTCAGAATATCAGCAATTGAATCACTTTATGATGGTACATAAATCTTTTCAGTTTTGATAACTGAACTAAATTTTTACGTTCCTCTCTGTTATTGATGTAGAAAGGCAGTTTCTTCAAAAACTATAAACCAGTCTACTCATTTGTAAATACCGTAAAATTCCAAAAATAAGCCCCGGGGCTTACATTTTTCAAAGGCCCTTTTTGAGGGGCTTATTTTTGGAGGGGCTTATATTTGGAGGGGCTTATCTACCGAGGGAAATTTGCGTTTCAAACTCGATAGGGCTAGCCTTATAGTTGGTAGTAAATTTACTATTTTTTCTTTGTTTTATGTTGTCTTTGAGGGCAATTTTCCAAGTACAAGCTACTGGGGGGCTTATATTTGGAGGGGCGATTTAACGCAATGTTTTTTGTGTTACTGGCTTGGGGGGCTTATATTTGGAGGGGCTTATACATGGAGGGGCTTATTTTTGGAATTTTATGGTATTTTTAATAATAATGATTTAGTACCTCATCATTAAATACTGATGCAAGTTCCTTTTTTCTTTGCACTAAAAGTGGTTCTTTTTTTGGTTTCTTTGGATCTGATCCCTATTGAAGAGAAATCATATAATCATAATATTAATAATAGAGATAATTTATAACCATTTTCTGTTTTAGGAATGGTGCTTTTAATTGGCAGTGTATTATTTGGGTAATTTTCTAAAGTTCATCTGTAAGATGCTTTGGTTCACACGATTGTCCTGCTCCACCCACATGTATAAAAAGGGTTCTGCCAACAACTGGTTATGGAAAACCCTTGAATGGAGTACCAGACACTCCCTTTAAGTTAGAGCACCCCAATAAAGAGCTGGTACCTGAAATGTCAACACCTATAGTAAGTGCTTTAAGCTACGGACTTTAGGATAAAAACAGCACCGCCACCAAAAAATGATAAATCTAATACCATAGTGAAGAAAAGTTGCAATCTCAAACATGACATAAAATGCATTAGTCACTTCCAAGAGCAGTCACCATCTCCAACTTACTTTCAACCCAGGACAAATCCCAGGAATCTGGCTATTTTGAGAAATTGTGGTCAAAGTCGCTGTTACATGTATGTTGACCATCAAGATAGTCAGATGGGTGCCCTTGGAATTGACTGATACATCTTGCCAAATCCAGGAAATAGGGTGTTAAATTTAAACTGCTCAAAGCCAAATAATATACATAGCTAGCATGCAAATACAGCTGTTTCTCTTTGTTCTTCGCTGCTAAGGATGTTTTGCGAGGAGTAACGTCTGCAACTCAGTGACAGAAATTCTGTATTGATGTTGTAAATCAATGCATAATAAATCCAGTACTCATGGGGTTCCAAATGCAAATTTGTTCAATTTTATGTTTCCCCCGGTCAATTTTGGTAAAGTGTTGTGTTCATCTGCGAACGAGCTTAAGCAAAACTCAAATGCTTCTAGAGAAGAATATATTCCACAAATATTGACTGTTTTGTTATAGATTCATGGCACTTACATTTGCCTGTAGTAGCATTTTGTGTCTCATTTGTAAGCAGTTAGCTAAAACAATGTAACCACTCCGCCATCCAATCACTGCTTATGGCCAGATTCTGGACAGATTTCACGCTATTAGTATGGAATTTCTGTTGGTGAATTGCAGAAACGTCCCCACCAGCGAGGAGTGAGGAGAAATGGCTGTTTTCGCAGGTCAATACATGGCATGTAAAAAATTCCTGATTGAAAAAACTAACACATTTGTAGCTGGTAGTTTTACTGGATAATTCAATGTTTCAATTCAATGTTTAGGGTGTGTTGCCAAGTTTTAGCAGATAACTGAAAGCATGGAAACATCCCAAGAAATAAAAGATGAAACTGAATGTGGGATTTAGTACTCAAGAAAAATACATTTATTAAGCTTAACTGAAAACTAAACTCTTGGTTTAAATTTTTTAACCTAGGTTGATTCTCAGTTTCCTTAGTCTCCTAGCCCTGATTCATGAATAATTAGAGCTACGAGACAAAGGAAATTGAGAATCAGTCTTTTGTAGGTCTTAAATTTTAACCTGAATATAATTTTGACTAAGCTTATAACATATAAGCTTATATTTTAAAAACTTATTGATCAAGTTACTGATTCCTCAAGGATCAATAATTTTATGCGGAAAAATGTCTTTGGGCGTTTCCTAGTAAATATGCTCCGTAATCAAAGTCTAGTTTCCTTAAATAGATAAGCTGATAAAGCCTTATTCAGCGGAAACCATTAAGCATACATTGTAGTTCCGCATCACATTTTCCTAGTTCATTCCTAAATTATATTCACTTTCAAGTTAAAGCCAACTTGCAACATTATAAAAAAAAACATTACCAGCTTTAAACTGACTCCGATTGGTTTTTTCTGTGTAGATCCAGACAGATTCATCGAGATTTTGGGTTTTTGCGTGACTTTAGAGTCAGAGATCTGTGGCAGTTTTCTCTTCTCACCAACAGTTGCGATCTTATCGGTGGCATTCCCTGTACATTAGACACAGATACTGCACAAGGTCAGTATAACTGGAAAATACGCATTTCTTCTACAGTTGGAAAACCAAAGAAGGGATTTTAAACCTTCGTTTTCTAGCGTTTTGTCCGGCAGCTTCGAAGAACTCAATTGTACTTTCGGTTCCGCCATCTTGCTTAGTGGCCTCGCGTTGCGAGGCTTGGATGCCAGGCCATTTGATCGGAAGTGATGAAGTTGTTGCGACGCAAAGGACAGATTTAGAAAAACCCGCCTTTTCAAAGCAATTTTTGTTTTCTTCCGTTAGCTGCTGACGGCCAGCAGATTACCGTTGCTTTCTCGTTCGCGATGCACGCAATTTTCGAGCGACATAGGAGATGAGCAGCTCCGTAGAAGATTGGCTCCGATCGCTGGGTTTCATTCACTACACGCAAGCCTTTCTTGACAATGGCTACGACGAACTGGACATTTGCAAAGAAATTGGCAAAGAGGACTTGGACGCGATCGGAGTGAGAAATTTCAAGGACAGAACTGATATTCTAAATGCAGTAGAACGCTTAAAACAAAGTGGGACAGCAGTGTACTTTGTATTGGAAGGCAATGTCGATAGCGAGTCTTTGGCAGCTCAACCGGAGCGAGAATCTTACCCTCCTATTCAGTTGAAAATGATGCTACGCGATAAACTAGAAGAAGACAAAATTGATCTTACTGCTCTTCCTTATACACTGCCGGTGAGTACTTGTTGATTTATTTTATTATTTATTTTTTCAATTAATATTGATCGCCTGGATATATACTCGATCAATGTCCAAGACCAAACAGTTTCTCGCGCAGGCATCGAAAATGTGCAATCGAATGGGTGTTTCGCGTCCACACGTAATGTACGAGGTTAATCAATTTGCTAAGGCAGTGAATGGACGTGTAGGGTGCTTCGAATTCTATTCACGTACATCTTTCGTGAACAATCAAACACAGTAGAGTGCTTGATTTATTAATCTCCTAAGCTAACATGTACTCATATTGCACGGATTTGAAGGTTATGGGAATTTCAAAATTGCTATACTTTGGTTTAGATTACTTGTATACACAATAACTGTTTAATCCCGTCAGGAAGTCACAATTATTCATCGGAAATCATCATTCTTTNACACGTAATGTACGAGGTTAATCAATTTGCTAAGGCAGTGAATGGACGTGTAGGGTGCTTCAAATTCTATTCACGTACATCTTTCGTGAATAATCAAACACAGCAGAGTGCTTGATTTGTTAATCTCCTAAGCTAACATGTACTCATATTGCACGGATTTGAAGGTTATGGGAATTTCAAAATTGCTATACTTTGGTTTAGATTACTTGTATACACAATAACTGTTTAATCCCGTCAGGAAGTCACAATTATTCATCGGAAATCATCATTCTTTTCTGGAAATGAATTAATATAACAACGTGATATTGCTTTGACTGCACATTTCAGGGCACTTGGACAGGTTGAAATTTGCACGTTGGCTTTAGTTTAGGCTTCTAAAATTATTTGTTAGTTGATTCCAAGGTCTCAAAAATAATCCTACATAATTGTAGCATTTATTTAAGCTTTAATAATCTTTTAAATGACAAACATTTCCTTTGATAGTTTTTTAAGTAGTTCAGGTAAACTAGTAGCATCAGGGCTTTAACATACATTGCTAGACACGTCCGTAACTGCAGATGAACTCTGAACCCTGTGATGTTTTTTCTCTTAGTTCATGCATAAGATTGCAAAGTGTGACTTTTGAGATAAATTAGTCGTTGAATTAATTAGTGCAATCTCCTGGTGGTTTAGGGAAAGAAACTGAAACATTTTTTTCCAATTTTGACTAAGGTTAGCCACAAAGTTATCTATCAAAAATCAATGGAATGATGATAGCACCAATAAACTTACTTTTATATCATAATTATTGGTAAATGTGAGTGTTATTTTTAATACAATATCATGGGTGATGAATTACTCCTTTATTTTGGTGTGAAATTTCAGTGTTAATTATGATAATTAATTCACATGTAAAAAAAAAATTGCTATGGCAACCTCCCGTACATTTCAGTGCCAATATGGTGAGGAAGTTTTAAAATGCTATTAATGAAGATGTAAAGACTTTAAAAGAGGCATTATAAAACCTAATAGACGAAACAGCACATCAAGAAGGATTCTAACAAGTATTTTGTTGAAAAATTCTAAACTTAAGCCAAATTTAAGCGCCCAACTTTTGAGAGCATGGAGTCCTTGGTCGATACGGATGAATATGTCAAAAATCCTTGATTGCGAATGTAATTCATCACGTATGATATTAAAAAGTAATCAAACGGTTAACTCGTAAAATTAGGGAATAATTTCACTCACGTTTTGTTCAAATCCCAATAATTTCCTGAGCCTTTTGGACAAAACGTGTGTGAAATCATTCCCTAATTTTACTCGTTACCATTTGATTACACATACTAACATTGCAGCCACCAGGATTACACACACCTGGACAATCATATTCCTTTCTTATGACCTTTAAAAATATTTTTGTTTGTTATTTTAAAAGGTCTTACTCATTTAGCCTAAATTAATGTTATCTGTACAGTCATGTAATCCTTTATTGAATTTGTTGTGTTCACTGTGGTTTCACCCTTTAAGCCCTGAGAGTGATCAGCATTAAATTTCTCCTTTTAATATCAATGCTTTGTAAAACAGAGTGGTCATGAGAATTAGGGACATGATCGCACAAGATAAATTTGCTTGATATCTTAACAACTTCTCCCCACTGCTTCTAAGGAAATGAATAGGGGCAACAAATGAGAATTAAAATTTTGATCTTAGGGTATAAAGGGTTAACTTTTTTTAGAAGGTCATTGTCATCATCAGTCTCTTTTTGCTGAGTGGGAGGCATGTGTTAGGTCTATTGCATAACTGTTTGAGTCCGAATAGTGAGCAACATCAGTTTTCACCCGACAATGTCAATACATAATCAAGAGAAAAAGGTTGAGAGAGTTTATGAAATAATCACCAAAAGGAAATGCTTTGATCTTTTAACAAATTCTCTCAACCAATTTTTCAAGGAAATGTATGAGGATCAGTCTGAAGAATTAATTGTATTTGGACATTTGGACTTAACGGGTGAACAATGTTCTCTGCCCAAGATCTCAATCTTAACTCCTTTAGTTTATTCTTCACTTGAATGCATCTCAACATCTCCCTCTGATCTCTTTCTCCTGCAGCCGTAGTGCAGGAAACAGGGTAGGAATGTCCAGGTTTGGGGTTGATTGCAACAACAGAGACCTCTGCCCAAGATCTCGTTCTTGACTATTGTGGTTGACTGGAACTTCCCTTTTTGCTTCTCATCATCTCCCTCTCTTTGTGGTGTCCCAGTACATTACAGCACCCTCAGTTATTTTCACTTGTGTTTTTGCTTAGCTATCATTTTTGTATGGACAGACAACTCTCTTTTAATGAAGACCTCTGTTCATATGTAGTCTTTCAATTTTATTCTTGGTTTAAATTTTCTTTTCTTTTGTTTCAAACTCATTATCATGTTATTATGATCATACATTACCATACCCAAAAGTAATAGAAAATAAATTTGAATCAAGGATAAAATTGAACCACAACCCAGGGTTGTAGCTAAGGAAATTGCCTGCCAGCTGAAAAGAAAATGGAGGCAGCAAAAAGAAGGTGGCATGGTGCCTTCTTTGCCAACATTGGGGACTGTATGGGTGTTTTCCTCTGTTTCATACCGGTCGCTGGTCAAAATCCAGCCGGTGATAGCCTCTGACTAAGCTGGCTAATTTTGCCAGCAGCCGGCACTTAGCGACAACCCTGTCGGTGTATTGCTAGGCCGAGTTGTTGGAAAGGTGGATAATGCTATCCACTGGATAAATCTCTATCCAGAGGATAATGTAATTGGTTCCCTAGTACTTATCTGCTGGATATCTAGTTATTTATCTTGTGGATAGTCAGTGTTGTCAGAAAGTTTTTAAGTAGACAGCTGAGTTGTCAAAGTAAGAGGCCAGTCCAGGGATATTTAATTGAAAAAAACCGCCATCCACAAAGAAATTCCAAGCAGAGTAGCTGGCCAATACTAACCAAGTAGGTGGTGATTTGTTACTTTTGACAACCCTGGATAGTGCTATCCACTTTTGAACAACCGGGGCTTGAATCTCTATTATCTGAACCCTGATTAACAAGACTTTTCATTCATCCGGGTTTTTTCTCCTTTGGTCCCACATTTTCTTGAAAATTGATGACAACATGAAAATCTGAGGTTATGATTCTTTTCGTCATGAAATAATTATACCATTGAAGCTTATTTCATTTCATTTTTTTTTTCAGTCCATACAGTGCTTGTGTTGTAAACAATGAAGTGAATTTTGCCATCAATAAATTGTACAGCAAATGGCAGATGAATAAATTAGCTAGTGTTACTTGATGCTTGATCTTTTGAAACCACACAAGTGGCAACTAGTATTTTTGACTATCCATACTCTTTATTTTGTTATCTACAAAATACTTGCAGAGTCTTATTACTGTTGTTAAAACTTAAGGTTATTGATATTTTGTGCTAATCTCCTCTGATAGGATGGTTCTGAGGGATCTTTGGATACTTTGGTTACCCTGTACGCTGGTAAGTTTTATACTTATGAGGATCAAGTGCTGTCAGCACTGAGAAGTTTACGGCAACGCCAAGCTGAAAAGGAGGAAGCATCTGATCTTCCAGTTCCTGTACATGCGGCGCCGGTAAGAATGAGTTGGAAGCATTGAGTTATGATTAAGTTGGGTTAATAATATTATGATAAAGTAATAAAACTCATCAGTGATGCCACCTCTGTTGTGAGTGGTCCTTTCCCCCACGGCAGTTTTACTCATTATAAGGCGCTCTTTCCGGTGATGTTGATGGATTTCCCTGATTTGTCCATGTCAAAAGGTTAAAAAAACTGTGAAAGGGTCTATTTAACAATTATTCCTTGAGCCCGAATGGCCTATTGACTCAGAGGCCATGAGGGCGAGAGGAATAATTGTTTTAGTAAAAACCAACTAG